CTGACATCTATCAGAGCTCAGTAACTTGAGGAAGTTTGAACACGCTCTTAGCAGTGATCTTCCTGCTCAGGATTCCTTTCTAAACAAAGGATATGGGCTCAGGCTCTCTCATGGTCATCAGTAAGTTTAAATTCAAGAACACGAGTATATTTAAAAGCCTGAAAGTGCCCGCAAGTTAGCTTCCAAGCTGTGAATTGGGCTTGTGCCCATTCTGACAGAATTACTGAAGTTAGACAGGCACTTGTTTTACTAAGTTTAGAAGAATCTTGAAGAGCAGAAAACAACTTGCTGAATTATTGCGACAAGTAGGTAAGGTGACTCAGGACAACTTGGCTTTGCCAAAAGCTCCTGAATATGGTTTGCATTTAGTGAGAATGTTCTACTGTGTATTTAATCATATTAACGGTTGACTGTATGACCTTCCCATTTGTACAATATAACTTTGTAACTTGTGCTAAAACATGTAGGAATGGTGATGTAATTTTCACGTCCACTTTATCTGCAAAAGAAAAAGAAATATTTTAAAGGTATGTTGTAGGAGTCAACGGGCAGCGAGAAAACTTCATGGTATGAGTACGGCAATGGGATGATCTCACTTGCATTGTAGGAAAATTTATTTGGGAAACAACCTAGAATGATTGTAAGAGGAAGCAGGAATGTAGGAGTAAAGCCCTTATGGTAGTAAATGTAAGTAATAGTAATGCAACAGGATAATAGTATTTTCACAGTCAAGCGAGAAAGAAAATGTAGATAATAAAAAATTCAAATATAGAAACCCCAAGATGAATGAAGGAATTGGAAGGTCAGGAGGGGCAAGAAAATTACCATCACAGACGAGGAAAAGAACAGTGGACTGCCCCTCGCCTGCGTGTTTAGGGGGTTTTATTTTCTATCAGCGGCTCTGCAACCCCCAGTGTGTTACAGTCAGGGATTTGGCTGACTTGGGACAATGTTGAAAAGATAGTCAAACAAAATTTGCTATAAGAGATCATATAATATGCTGGAGAAATTGCAGACTTGGACTGAAAACCTGGCTTCACTACTGTTTTGTGTGCTCAGGTGATAATATGATTCTAAATAAAGATGATAATACCCAATTTCGGGACTATTGCGTTAATGTTACTGAAAGCGTGGTGACAATACAAAGCTCTTGGTTCTCAATAATGAGTAACAGTGATACTACTAGTGCTTTGTTTGTTATAGTTCTCTTAATATATTTTTAAAAATTGAGCGGGAAAAGTTTAATAGAATAGCAATAATCTGCCTAACATTTTCAATTAAAAAAGATGAATCAAGAGAAAATTATTGCTTCCACTTTTCAGGTCGAAATATTATTATTGCAACTGGATGGCTGTAGTAAATTTATATCAAAAGTAGAAGTGATAACTTCTAGTACACATTTAACTATTAAAATATAGTTCTTACTGTTTGCAGATACTCTGTCCCTAGATCTGTGTTTTCATTGTGACATCTCGCATTTAAATTCATTATAGATATATTTTAATTAGGGTTCATTTCACTCTTCTCTCTGATTAGCCTCACATAGCCAGGATTTTATCAGTGTGTGAGTAGGGGAGAGGAGTGCTAAAAAATAAACTTTTTCTTTAGTAAAGATGAAAACGACAGTGACAAGCAGAGTGCTATTTAGGTGTCAGGCATACAATATCTTTCAACACAGTATCATGGATATCAAATTTAACAAACATCCTTTGAGCTCCTAATGTGTTATGGACTTGGGGTTGGGTTTGGGGAGGGTTTACCAAAGTAAAGAAGGCTAGTTGCCCCCACCATGGAGCATAAAATATCTTTTCTTGTATAAATATAATACAAATTGATCAGTGTTCTAACAAATGTTCTTATCCAAGTGGAAGGGTTATTTATGCTGAAAAATGGGAGCGGGTGGAGAAATTCTCTACACAAGGTAGTAATGGAGTTACAGCTTCCAGGATGAGTAGGATCAGTTCAGTGGAACTTAAGGGAAAGCTGTGCAGGGCGAATGGTCTCTATGTTGCAAGAAAGATTAAGGTCAAATAGCTAGATGTCAAGAAAGTTCATGGGTGAGAATTACTTCAGTTTACTTTGATTCAGATGCCATACCTAACTTGGCTTTGCTAGTTTATAAAGAGAGGAATGACTCGCATTAATGACATTCACAGACACATACTAAGAACTTATTATTTTACCATAAATATACTTGCATTATGGACCAGAAAACTCAAGTATAGTAGTGGGTAAGAGGGAGGTATTATAAGCAAATTGTTTAATTGGTGGCCATTCAGAATCTTCTCTGTTTATGTCCATCCACAATCTGGATTAGATTTCCCTGTTCAACTGTCTCTTAGCACCCAAATAGAATGCTGATTAGCAAGCTGGCTAATTATTTTTATTGGATGTATGGATTTAACTATCAAATAGTATGTCATTCTTCATGTCCAAGTTTGTGGGAAACAAATCACTTTCATGTAGTTACAGACTACAGGACAGATGAAGTAGAAGGTCATAAAAAAGAGAATAGAAGCAACTGTGTATAAAGGAAGAAAAATCAGTGATGAAAACATAAGGTTCTTTTCTGCTTTTTGAGGATGGGTTTTGGCAAGCAGGTATTTCCTTGTTAGTTAATTTTACCATTTTTTTCAAACATATAGTTTTTTTAAAAGATTTTCCTTATTTATTTTTAGAGAGAGGGGAAGAGAGGGAGAAAGAGAGGGAAGGAAATATCAATGTGTGGTTGCCTCTCACGTGCCTTCTGCTGGGAACCTGGCCCACAACCCAAGCACAGCCCTGACTGGGAATAAAACCAGCAACCTTTTGGTTCATAGGCTGGTGCTCGATCCACGGCGCCACACCAGCCAGGGTAATTTAACCAGTTTTGAGGCTGTTTCTTTTGCTTACTCATCCAGTGCTAAAAATTAACTTATTGATGTCAGTCTAAAATTCTAAGTTGCTGATAATTATTAGCAAGTGGTATGAAACTCATTGGCAATAATGCGAAGGGTGGGATTGAATTTAAACTAGAGGCTGCTACAGTATTGCTCAGTTTCAGCTGGTTTCCACATTTATTCCTTCCCTTGACTGATCTTCACTGGTGAACAGACCCAAGGAAGAGGGGTCTTCAGACCCAACTGACCTTACTGCCTTAGGGGTCTCTCTTACCTCAGGTGGAGGCAGAGGTTCTTGGAGCCACTAGGTTAATATAGGAGATATTTATTTTGGCGGGGGGAGGGGTGTGGATGGCCAAAATAAAGACACTAATCTGAGCTTGGGCTATCCATCTTGGGGTTTTTGTGAATGATGAGATCATAGGTAGGGAGCCAAAATGGCTGCGGGCATGGAGGCCACAGAACCACAGCCCGGGGAGATGGGAGATGTCCTACTCCAGTTGCACGGAGGGAGAGCCGTGCTTACAGGAGCTTTTGTTCACTGCAAGCATGGAGATAATTCAGCCTGATTTAGTAAGGCTGGAAAGAGGCAAACATCTTCCCGTAAGTTTTAACCCTAGCCATAACATACCCTGAAATTTTCTTTAAAAGCATTTAACCAGAAGCTCTTATCTTTGCCCTGGCTGTTGTTGCTCAGTTTGTTGGTTGGGCATCATCCTAGGTTGCGGGTTTGATGCCCAGTCAGGGCACATGCCTGGATTATGGGCTTGGTCCCCAGTTGGGGCGTGTGCAAGAGGTGACCCATTGATGTTTCTCTCCTTGTTTTCTTTCCTCCCTGTTTTCTTCCCTCCCTTCCTCTCTCTCTAGAATCAATAAAAATAAATAAATAAATAAATAAATCTTTTTCTTATCTTCAACAGGTGAAACATCGTGGGGTATCCTCTTCAAATATTGAGAGCAAGAGCCTTTTATTATCAAATTGATGAGAACATGCACAGCTGTTTTTCAATGGAGGCTTTCTTCCATCAGTCTTAGGATGACTATGTCCTGAAAACATATTTTTTCCTTCACCAGTTGTACCTGGAGGAAAAGGTGAAAAATAGCAGTGTACTCTCTGCTCCTCTACTTAGCACCTATCACCTTTTAAGAAATTTGGGGTCTCCTTTGGAAAGAGAGAGACCTTGGTCTCCATTAGACACTATTGGCCTTTCCTAAAGGAGGGATTTGTAATGTAGCAGGTTGAATTTATGGGAGAAAATAAAAACAGAAAGCAGTTGAATGTTGGGCTACAGAAAGCAGAAAATCCAGAAAATTTAATGATGGGATCTACAGAAATTATATTCTTTGAAAATGTTATAAGAAAGCCAGGAGAATGTGCTCAGTATTTGCTTAAAGGTGAAAATAGAAGATGCTGGGTTTGAAAAGAAGATAGACTAAATGAATCACTCTTTAAAGACACATTTACTCTTGTGAAATTGGGATACATTTGAAGAGCACCTTCTTTGTTACAGTGGTACCCAGCATTGGAGTTTACATTGCAACGCTGTAGTTCCACCCAGTTTGGCATCCCTACCCTCCAGCCGTGTCCCCACGTCCCTCTGACAGTATTGCAGTCTCTGGTATGCCTTTCATCTTAAATTTACAAACAAATGGTTATCAATGCAGGTGTTTCAAGTTTGGGGAAGAAATATTTGAACGAATTTGATTTTTAAAGTGGACTTCTATTGTTCTTCTTCAAAAGGTACTTTAATATTTCTGTTTATAAACTTTGCCTTTTTAAGAATGTGAACATGCTCTAGGTAAGTCATCTTTTCAATTTAGTTCGTCCTTGTCTGGAAAAAAAGAGGAAGCAGTAACTCCTTAAGGACAAGAAGTACTTCCAGACATACACACACAGACACACACACACACAGACACACACACAAGACACTCCCAGGAGCCAGCATCCACGTAATTTAGGGCCTGTTAACCCGCAGGATGTTTAAACACGCGTTCTGACTTCACACTCCCGGTTCGGTTAAATAATCCCTTACAGCAGAGACTACGCGCTTTTCCCTCGCTTCCTCTTTCATTCCACCTTAAAACATCTGCGAAGACCAGAGGAAACCAGTCTGCGTTTTAGCCCCTCCCACCAAGAATAAGACTTTTAACTTCTCTGTGGTCCCTGGATGAAAAAGGATCCTGACAGAAAGCTAGACGCACACAGGCGCCCGAGGAAGCTCATGTAACTCTGGGAACTGTAAGCAATATATTTACTCTCACCCCGCGCTCCGCTCCACTTCTCTCTCCCACCCTCCGCATCTTTTCCTTTGTATCTTAACTTGGCAGGAGGACAGGACGGAAGGAAATCGTAGTATGCTCACCGCTTTGAAAAGTCTGCCTGTCCGCCGCCTTTGGAAATGAAACAGATACGGGAACTTTACTTTTCTAACAAATGCCAGTTTGAGTTCCGGGGTCTAAGTGCACTGGGCGAGTCGAAAGATAAAGTGCTTTCTTCACGTAGAGCCGCGAAAGAAAGCCAACCCCACGTTCAAAACAGCAGAGTGGTGGCGCTCCCTAGAGCGCCACGTGAAGCCACCCCCGGGTCACAGGTCCCCCCCTGGAGCAGCGTGCGTCTGACAGCCCTAACGCCGGTTAGCCACGGAACTTGTGGGCTCACTTGAGCTTTGTTTAAAAAATAGACATTTTGGTTACTTGCGCAAAAACATTCCTAAGTGTTTAATGTGATGCAGTGTTAGCTGGGGGGGAAAAAAGACAGCATTGACAAGTCAGCTGGGAAACAACCTACGGTATTCTGTTTGCCTTTCCCCTGAATCAGTGGGCATGCCAGGTGTAACAGCTGCAAACTAAATCCTGGAAAACGTTTGATCAAATAATAATAAAATTGAGTTTTGAGTGTGAATACTATTTTAGTAATTTTGTTTTCAAAGAAGCAATAATAAAGGCATTGGTTTTGAAATAATAGTAGCGTAGCATGTCTAGATCTCCTGCAGGGTATAATCATTTTAGTCTTAGAAACGATTTGCACCTCAAACTCTTGAACAAGAAACGCTCTTCCCTTTGGTGGATGACGTAAGCATTTATTCTTTTGAGGCAGACAAAGTACTAGAGGCACACCATTCGGATGGGTGTCAATTCTAAGCTATGATAGTGGCATGTTTAACGCTTTCGAGGAGAATGTGTTTTAGTTTATTTCTCTTTGTTGCATAAATGTGAAATTGTAGCCCAAGACATATTTGTAGGGAGTAGTGGGGAAACAAACCCTGTTCAGAGTTTTTACATTATATTCCAGAGGCCCCCCAGACCTTGCCAATCAAGTTTGATGGAATAAGAAACATTTGTTTGCTTCATTCATGGAGCGGAGGAAGAGTTAAATTTTAAATTAAGCAATAATTGTGAAATGCCTAGAGGAGTGTTTAATCTGCATTTGTTCACAGCAGCTTTACAAACTTCCTATAGGGGAAGCGCATTTTATAGGACAAGAAACTCAAAAATCGATTCAATAATTTTTCTTTTCCTCATTAAACATAAGTGCAATATACCTCAAGGTAGATTTACCCTGTTAAAAAGGTCACTTTTGAAATATTTTGCACTTATGTTTAATGAAGAAAAGGAAAATTACTGAATTGATTTCTGAATACGTGAAGAAGTTCACAACACTGAAGTAATATGGCCTGTTTTTAACCCATCAGTGTCATTCTTAGTGTCATTGCTTGGAAAGCAAAGTCATGAAACCAAATCATTTGCATATTAAAAATAAGTTCCAGGAATAAAAAAGAGGAAGATAGAATTAGCTGTGGTTCCTTTTCCTCTCCTTTGCTTTTTATTTACCATCAGTTTTTTTTCCCCTCCTCTTGCTTCTAGACTGTAGCTTTATTTATTCCCAACTTTTTAAAAATCAAAGACCCTTTTACAGGGACTATGACAGCTGGCCCTTCCCCATTATAATGTACCTGTGCTCCCCAACATGTACACATTTGGAAAGAGCTTTAGGAAGTTCATACCCTTCCCCCTAAACAATTCCTGTCATATGAAAAAATGCTGTATTTCTTAGAACTTTTGAGTTTTTTGATAATATCAAATAATTACCAAATCACTTTATTTATAAGTAAAGAACGACCTAACAGTGAATATTGCGATGGCCATGTTGTTCACCTATTCATTTAATGTTCTGGAACTCTAAGCAAATTGGTGTAATGAAAAAACTACTTGCCTGGCAACCAAGTGACCTGGATTCTAGACTTAACCCCAATAATAACTACCTGTACGATATTAAGCTTGCCATTTTCCTGTAATATATGATATTTTTTATTGCTGAATGCAGCAAATAAAACATAGTAGGAAAACAAGGTACAAATTATTTTTAGTTGGATTGTGGGATGTCTATATTTGCTCTTTTATTTCAAAATTCCTAACTATATTTCCCAGCGTGATTATGTTTTATAGTATTCTCATTTATTACAAAGATAGTTCATGCTCACTGAACATAGAAAATTGCAAAGAAGTAAAGGTAAAAATTACCTGTAACTCCCTAAATGGGTAACTGTTTTTAAAATTGTCATTCATTCATTTATTCAGTCAACAAATATTTATTGACTAGCATGCATCAGCAAAGAGACAGGAATTCTTCTATGTACATCGCTTCATGTTTCTAGGCATTTTTAAATACATGCACTCACATGTAGATGTTATAAAATTATTGTGCTGGCTGAAAGGTGAACTGAGGCGTATGAAAAATGTTAAGAGTTTATTTGAGCAAAAGTTGATTGGAATGAGGCAGTGCAAAAACTGGAAGTGGTCAAGAGCGCTTCACTGACAAGATCTCAGGGCAGAGACTTTGATAGAGAACAAACGGAAGCAAAGTAAGAAAATTATTGATTGGCTATAGCTTAAAGCCTCGTTAACTGTTTGTGATTAGTTGTCCTTAGGTTTCAGGTTTGTCACTTCGAGGCATTTGCAGGCTTAGATTTTGGTTTGGTTATGTAGGCCACCACGGCATTCAAGTCGCCTCAGTCTAATTAATGGTCTCCTTGTTTAATTAATTTAATATACAGTTCATGCTGTTTTATGACATGCTTCCTCCTCAGTCATGAAACTCTCTGTTAAAATATGATTTTTGTACTTGTGCAATATATTGTATTTATTTATATCTTAAACAAATATTACTGTTACTATATGTTACACACTGTGCAAGTAATGACAGTCTATCCATGAGCAAGAGTGTGGTTCTCACAGCGGGGTAATTTTAGTCTGTGGAAATGTTACACTGGCCAATTATCAGTTGTTGGATATTTAGATAGATTACAGTTTTCCACTATCATAAATAATGTTTCAGCTAGGGTCTCTTATATACCTGTGCACATCTTTGCTTACTTCCTTTGGATAGACTATTTTAAGTGTATGTTCCAAGTTCTAACGAAAAATCCACTACTTACCAGTTGTGAGGTAAACCAATAGTTTCTTTAGCAAAATGTTCTTTTCTCAACTGTAAAACAGAAATAATAATAGATTATTTGGAGGATTCCTAAAAATACTTAGCAATATGTCATGGAATGCTATTATTATTTTTGCCATTTTATGATTGGGAAAGATTGTATCCATTTATAAGCAGTATAAAAGAGTAGAATTTCCCTAAGCCAACATTATGTTATCACTCAAACACAAACAACAAATTAAAAAGTTAGCCAATTGTTATATGAAAACGGTATTTCGTTTAAATTTGCATTTCTTTCAGAACTAAGGTGGGACAGTTTTCACAGTGGCCACTTATGTGTGTGTGTTTATGAATTGCTTCTTTTAGTGTGAGTTTAAAATTTTTTTTTTCCGCTTTAATTTCTAATTTTGGTAATTATCAATGGATATAACTCACATAATCAAAGGCCCTTTGGCGTCCTCAATTCTAAAGTGTTAGGGGTTTTAACATTAAAGGCTAAATTTTGAAATGGAAATATATATTCTGGAAACATTGTTTTTTCTCGAGTTCGGAGGACTGACTTTAGTGTTTCCTGAAACCTTTTTTTAAAAAAATGGGTGAGATACATAGAAAAATGAAAGTAAGTCATTTTCATTTCGATGGTCTGTCATACTCTACAAAATTAGGGAAATTGAAGAGGGTTTTGAGAAGAGGACCACATCCTTGTATGGTCTCCTATACAGCCAGGAACTCCCAGACTCACTTCATGGACAGATGGGCTAAGGGCTACGTGATGATTACTTATAAAGGTTTTGTAAGAAAAATAGTGTCATGTGTATCATGAACTGACTTAGAGAAAATGAATTTAAATGTTAGTCGTCTCTTCATCATCTGCTCCTTGATGATTTAGGCATTAACAGATGGGTGAAACAGAAAGTTGGTTCTTGGGTTTTAAAGAAGATAGTAAATAGAACGATAGTGTTCTGGTCCCTTGATAGTATCACTTGCCTGAGAAAAGAGAGATGCACCACATTTTTGCTACTCTTGCTATGTGATTCTGTTTGAAAAAAAAAAGTTTGAAGAAAAATCAGAGGGCTAATGATATCTTTCATTTGCACACTATTTTGTGGGTTATGAAGAGAATGCTTGAGAGCTTCATTTCAACAATAACCTTGTAAGTTAACAGAACAGATGGTCACATTTTGCAAATGTGACAAGAGAGATGTTGAAATCTCAAATGACTTATTTAGTTCCAAGTCTTATGATTTCCATCTTCATGCATTTTGTATACTTTAATTGATTAATTGGTTTATACTTGCAGTTTTTATGTGTGTTATTTTTAAAGCTTGTCAACCTCTTCCTATTTTTGTTAACATCAGAAAAATTATTGGGGAAGATCCAGACAGTACAGGTTTCCACATTAACTCAGTTATTCTCTTTTAACTATATTACTGATTGGCCTAATAGAAGAAGTTGCATAAACATTTAAGAATGATTTAAAAAGTAATGTATGAACAATTTCATATGATGGAACTATTTAGCATTTAATGTGGATATATGCCACTTTAAGAAGATGAAATATATAAAGTTTTATCTAAAAAAATAAAAAATAGACACATTATGAGTTATATTAGAAGTACTAATTTTACTACAGGTTTTACTTCCATTTGGGAATACAGCATTCTCTTAGAGCCTATAGCTCTTTTTGGCTCTTTTTATTAACCCTAGAAGTTAGCATGAAGCATTTGCATCAAAATGGTTACTCTGACCTTGGATTAATCCTTAATAGCAAAAAAAATCATTATTATTCTACCTTTCCAAACAAT